AAAAAAAAAAAAAAAAAAAAAAAAAAAAAAAAAAAAAAAAAAAAAAAAAAAAAAAAAAAAAAAAAAAAAAAAAAAAAAAAAAAAAAAAAAAAAAAAAAAAAAAAAAAAAAAAAAAAAAAAAAAAAAAGTAACCACTTAACACCAGGTGGGCTGTGAGCTCGTTCACCCATCTAAGCAATAAAAAAAAATAAAAAAAAAATAACACCACATTTCAAAAGCGTCGATCTTTGCTCTCTCACTTTGTCTAATCGTCTAGGATTCGGCGCCATAAAGAAAAATTGAGAAGACCAATGTACGTACCAGCCTCACTTTGGTTTGGTTTGGAATTAATTTACGTTATTTAAAAAAAAACCTTATGAGATGAATTGAATTTGGTACATATTTAGAAAATCGTCGAAATGCTAAGTAATCTAGTCTTGTTTTAAGTTTATTAATAAACATACCACGGCTCCTAGAAATATTATATGTACATAGTTTGTTATTACATTATTGAACTGGCTTTGTTGTTTCGACCGGCAGCCTACTACGCGTTAGGAGTACTGGTTCTCAGAGGGTCGTGGTACACAAGAGAAGTTATGGTATAAATGTAGTATATTTCACTATATTCTATTACAAATTTATGTTATGTTTTAGTAAATGTAAATGTATTTTTTATCTTTGGTTGAATTTTAGCATATTTGACAAAACACTTGCATACGTAATGTCTTTATATTTGTTAATTTTTAAACTTTAATTATCTCTTTATGTTACTTTCATTTTGGTTTTTGGGCAGAAAACTCATGTATGGGTTTGGCTCTTTTCGATATAAGAAGATATAAAAGAGATAAGTGTTTTATGTTAATAGTATATACATTTTTCTTATATTGATTGATGTATACAATGTAAAATAAAATAAAAATGCATAAGTTGCCAATGTGTTACCATTTGCTAAAGGTTCTAAGAAGAAGAGGCTATGCTGTATGTAATAGAAGCGATTGAAAAAGGAAATGAAAATAAAATGACAAATGAAGAATTGTGGAGTGTACTCGTAGTAATGGTACGGTCTATTCAGTTGGCCTGGATAGGGTCAATATACATAATAATATATTAATACAAACAATATTAGCTATCATAAGAAAATTCAACCTATGACTTTTAAATTATGAATTCAATTAAACAAACCACGGAATAGATAAATAAGGTATAACCTTATTTATCTATTCCGTGAAACAAACTGTTATCAAGCCGTTAGTAGGGGGCGTTGCGTCAGGTCGACGGTCTCACGCAGTATAAGGCAAGGTGCATACAAATATTTTCTAATTGAAAATTCGTTTAGTTCTATCGTAAATGAGAATAATCTAATTGCTCATTTCAGTGACTTATCAACTTGATACTTGTTATATGAAATTATAAAAAAAACCACAAGGATCGTTTTGTGATTAGTCAAAAAATTATCGACAAATTCGAATCGCATGAATCAGTACATATTGTGACGTCATTTGTTAGTAAGAAGTTCCAGTTAACCATGGGAATACACTAATACAAATCGTGATTAGAGGTAAATAGTATCTAATGTTTTTTATATTTAATAATAGATAGATGGATAGATTTTATATAAATCTAGACGTATCTAAAGTCTTTAAAAAAACACGTGTGCGCGTGGCCCTACCCGTCGAATGTAGACCAGGTGTTCATCAATCACTGTTAATGTTTGTCAACTCAATGTAGACTGTGTCTTGTTTGTTTTATGTAATGGCGTCGTGTTATGTGAATATTATGGAACACAGTGATGGACGATGGTAGTACAGTTTATAGGCATACTTTTTATGGTTTGGAACCTTATTACTGAGTTTATTTCCCAATCATTTCTAGCTTTGTCGCTAACCCCTTCTATTTTACAATAAGTCGAAGTTGTATCACTTAAGATCCTCCTCATTTTTTCACTCAAGAAAGTACTCATTTAAGACAAAATTTAAGAAGAAAATACGAACTGAAATCTGCATCCTTCTCTTGGCCAGATCAAATGGATACGTCACGCTTTTTGATACAAAGCCTGATGCTGATCCGGCTATAGTGCTGGCCAGCAGCACATGTTCAGGGTTGTAGTGGTGACGTCCAGACTTGCAATGCCCCCTATCGCAGTTGTGCATCCTGGCCAGGACCAAGGGCTGGACGAAATTGAAGACAGCAAAGCCTATGCCAACTGAGGGGCCCATCTGGAACATAAAGTTTGGAATTTTTACGTTCATTTATCAAAACGATGCACAGACAAGCAACATAACAATCCATGCCTAAATTAAATACGAGTTTCAAGGCATATTGATTTAAGAAAACTCTGAAATAATAACCATTGGAAATATAAGTAGAAGAAGAATAACAAAACTGAAATACTAAATCTCTATTTAAATAGCTATAGCCGAAAGTTAAGTTTTTTTTTTTTTTTGCTTAGATGGGTGGACGAGCTCACAGCCCACCTGGTCTTAAGTGTTTACTGGAGCCCATAGATATCCACAACGTAAATGCGCCACCCACCTTTGAGATAGAAGTTCTAAGGTCTCAAGTATAGTTACAACGGCTGCCCCACCCTTCAAACCGAAACGCATTACTGCTTCACGGCAGAAATAGGCAGGGTGGTGGTACCCACCCGCGCGGACTCACAAGAGGTCCTACCACTAGTAATTACGCAAATTATAATTTTGCGGGTTTCATTTTTATTACACGATGTTATTCCTTCACCGTGGAAATCAATCGTGAACATTCGTTGAATACGTATTTCATTAGAAAAATTGGTACCCGCCTGCAGGATTCGAACACCGGTGCATCGCTCAACACGAATGCACCGGACGTCTTATCCGTTAGGCCACGACGACTTCAAAAGTACTCTTAAATGTTTCGGTGCTTAATAGTTTTTTTTGTAGCAATTAAAGAGATTTAGTCTTATTAAAAATTTTGGAATTGTCAGTATTTTTCTTTCAAAGGATAATGACAAAACAAAAGAAAAAACCTAACAATGTCGTACGTAGCAAAAGAGTAAATACCAATGCATTAGGTCGAATTTCATTCTTTGGATGAACCTTAGTTCAATTGAGTAAATATGTGTAAACAATCATTTTACATTTTATTGGCATGATAATTCTTTGAGGAATCGGGCGGTTAATTACCATAATCCTGCTATTACTACCGAGGAGTATTCGCACGTCTCAGTTTGAAGCGTGGCAATCTAATAGAAAAATCTATTTTTTTTTTTTTTTTTTTTTTTTTTTTTTTTTTTTTTTTTTTTTTTTTTTTTTTTTTTTGTTACTGATTGGAATGTAAAGACGTCAAACTGCGTACTCCCTAAAACATTTTCGCATAAAATCACAATGTAGTTAGTTGTAAACGTTCACCGATACAGCCATTGTTTTTAGTAAATACGAAACCG